GTAGCCAACTATTTGCGTTAGCAAGCCAATTTCGAGAAATGCGTGGACGTCGCGCACAAAAATTTGAACATCACCATGGCTTTGGAAGATCCCACAGAATCCTGTACTGTATTCCGGTTGTGCGAACAATCGAAGCAATTCTGTAACGTCAACAATCAGTGGAGTGTACAGGTACAATAGGTTCCTACTCTACAACTATCTCGAAGAACTCGCATCAGTACCGTATTACATGGGCAGCCCAACGACTCCGCACTGATTTTCTTTTTTGTTGAATCYTCAGTTGAGAGTACGACCATGGATAGATTTCGAAGGCTGGTGACATTTAAATTTACAGCGTTCGCTTTGATTTTAACAAAGGCAATTACAACAGCGACCAAAGTTGTATCGTCGGATCGCCAACCCCAGAGCCCATCCATAAAACTATTAACCGAAAACAATGGCAATATCGACAACAATGACGACGACGATGGACACACGAGCTATGGTTCGTCTTACATTTCCCACGAGGGCAATTCGACGCTGTCAGCAACCTTTTCAATCCGCGTCACACCCGAACACTACYGCATCATCTCTTGGACATTTTTGTGGACTGGTTTTGCGGCTGCCGTCCTCTTCGGTATGCACCAGATTCGACTGGAACGTAAGTGGATAAAACTCGTCACATCCTCACGGAATTTCTCCCATACAAACGGATCGTTGTCCCAGGGCTCGTCTTCGGCGGCGTTGCGATCCCAGTCATACTCGAGGCTACGGAAATACTCCGTAGTAAATCAAGGGCAAAATCCCGGTGGTGAAAGAAGTCCACAGGATCCAGAGCTGGGGTTAGGSAGTGGAGGTGGCGGAATGCGAACTACCTCCAGAGGAGGCAGGATTGTCCGGACAAGTCGCAGTGGGAACAATATCAACATCGGCAGTGGTTACAGTAGCCGGATGACACTAAGCTCCTCTACGGCCTCACTCAACAACAGCTCAAATCCGGACAGTCTAGGGGACGAACAGCCCGTGAGTAGTGGGGATYTGGCGAGGGCTACGGTACGTCATATTCCATTACGTTTCTTTGGGTCGAAGGAGTTGCTGCTCTTTGGTTCGRCTTGGTTTGGGTTGAGTTTTGGTTCTATTCAGTTTGTTCGAWCCTTCAGTGTGTGTGTGTGATACATTTTAAATTTTTAACATCGATTCGTCTGCTTTTCGATGTCAACGCGTCTTTTTCCGTATGCATGCGAACAAAACACAACTCATCGCCAATCCRACCAATGACTGCCAACTCCAAAATACAACAAACAACCTCTCAACGAAATCAAACTTCCAAAATCAGTTTCGCCGATTGATATTGGTCGCCATGGCATCTAGAACCGTAGCGATACCGATTCAGGTATATAGCGATCCGTTGTGGGTGCAATTAATTGCAGATACGTTCCCCGTCATGACCTACGCCACCGCATGGACCTGGCTGGTCTCATTCTTCGTACAGTTAGTCACTGTAGCCCTGGGGAGTACCAATAGCATCGGTGTAGGGAATGCTTCCACCGCAGATATAAGTGCGAGTGCCAACACGACTAGGTCCCCACAGAGTCCCTACCGACCGGCAGCTCCGATTGACACCGTCATCCAAATCACTGCATACGTAGTATACGCATTGTTGATCATTGCTTTTACCATCTTTCGAAGGATTGCTGCTGCCGTCTTGCTGTATGCGTTGCTGTGCTGCGTTTACGCGACCCTACTAGGAACTGCCCTATATTTTTGTCCACGTCTTTTGGCCCTGTTGCTGTCGGGATTGGACGGGAAATGGCATTCGCCCCTGGTCTTGCGGCTGGTCGCATGCAGTGGGGTTTCGTTGCTGGTTTTTGCGGCACGCACCTTCTGTTTTGCGAAAAAAGTTGTCCAGTCAACGAAACCCTTGGGTAGAATGAGTGGAGGACCCTACTGGTGGTTCCAGTATGGGGCATTAGAATTGCTACMGGGAGTCTTGTTTTTGGTACTCCTTCATCCGAAACGGACGGCTGCACCGAACAGCGCAAATACTTCCAGTGGCAACAACGGTTCGACGAAATCCAGCAGTAGTGGTAGCAGTAGTGGAAGGATTAATCAGTACCCTACTGTATCTGGGTTTGGCGGCGAGAGAGGCGATCCGCACCCATCCGGGCGACGCACACCGCCCTTTTATTCATCATATCAACGCTCCGACTCGAATGATTCAAAGCCTGGAACTCCCTCCCCGTCTCCAACGCCACCAGTGATGTCACAAACAAACGTAACAATTAGCATAAACACAATTGGAAACATCAAGAGCAATCCGAAGCAAGAAACAGCCCCTCTTCTCAATTATGAATRAATGATGGAATTAAGCCAAAATTGGGGGGTAAGTATTCAATCTTGTTTGAGACTATGTTTTGATTCGGATTTATCCCAAGGTACTTGACAAAATTCATGCTCGGAAATGCTGGAATATATAATCGTACTGGTTTGAGTGTCGGTGAAAAGAGTGCAATGTTTTTGCTTGACTTGAGGTTTGATATAAACTTGCTATGCAATACTTGGGTTGCTAATTTCTTAGAAGCAACAGTCTCGGTTGGTCGTTCCACTTCTTTGCAGCTGCTAGCTACGCCTTGTCCTCTACTTCATTGCTCATGTGCTATTCAATAGTATTTAGTGAGGGTTTTGTACTTTGCTTTAGGTGTTTTGCAGAGTGTCGACTATTTCTTGTTGCTGTTGCCACAATGACTTTTCTTCTCGCAACTGATGCTTTTTAGTTTCGTTATATTACATTTGTTTGATCTGATCGAAATGAGCCGGCCCCACGGAAGGAAATCCGAAACTTCATTAGGCGGCTGTTGTTGCGACATTTTATTGTAGTATTATTTCGCAGTATTGTGTCACTGAGTGAGCGAATTGGCGCCAAGCATGATTTACAGCACTAGTATTGTTAGTATTATTATTATTTACTGATAAACTTGAGTCCAAAAGTTTCTTCGTAGTTCCACATTTCACCGGGACAGGAAAAGCTGCACGATACAGAATGATGCGGGGTCCTTTTTGGTACCTTCTGAGTACCTGTTCTCGAAGAGTTTGCGATATAGTGACCAAAAAATAGGCGCCAAAATACGAAGATTAAAATTCAGCGTAGTACAAATTTTCGTAGTTTTATGAACCAATTCCGATACGGTCAGCTGCATCAGATGTAAGGCTTTCATCGTTGCTACCTTCTCCAACTTCGTCGGCGTCATTAGCAGAAGTAGTATCGGTAGAACTCTGGGAAGACAGCGATGAAGAAAAAAACGAAGGAGAATTCGAAGGGGAATCTGAGGGAGGATTTGAAGGTGAGTACGAAGGAGAATTAGAAGGAGAGTGCGAAGGAGTATTCGATGGAGAGTCCGAAGGAGATTTCGAAGGGGAGTCCGAAGGAGATGGCGTGCTAGAAGAGTTGAGGGAGGGAATTTCAGTCTCAGGAGGAATAGTTGGATTTTCATAGCCTCCTTTGCCTTTTCCACCATAGCCCCCTTTCTTTCCGCCTTTTCCATCTCCTTTCTTTCCACCTTTTCCACCTTGATAATCGACTCCCTTCTTTCCCCCTTTTCCGCCATAGTAGTAGCCTCCTTTCTTTCCGCCTTTTCCACCAAAATAATCGGCTCCTTTCTTTCCGCCTTTTCGATCGTAATAGCCATTTCCAGTATAATCATAACGATCATCCATGACTAGTGACTTCAACTCTGATCCCTCCAACGGATTCAAGCCCCGTTGGTGACCATCTTTTTTTGGTCTAGTGTCCTGAAGTCGGCGCAAGGAGTAAGCGGGGCTGCCTTGCAATCCTTCCGATTGGAGATCTTTGACATCATCATGAGAATGGAGATCGCCAATAGTCGTTCCTGTCGCCATCATGGGTGGCAAGAATAGGGATAGGACGAATAGTTTCGATAACATCATCGTCGTCATGAGTCTTCAGTTTGCTTTGCTTTGCTTCTAGTCAGAATGTGTGAGTAGTTCTCATGAAACTGGATTACAATCCTGTGGAACTATGACTTCTCCTTGGACTAAGTCTGCMACTYGGATTTATGAATCGTTAGTTWTTTTTCGTTAGTTTGGTTGTTTGCCAACAGCATAGTGAATTGTTTTATTGCAAATGATCCGGAAATGAATAGATGCACATCGTCAATTGGCGTTGGAATCCTTGACTTTCCAGAAACGGATCGTGCGAGAATCCCAACGTCCCAATTCCATTGCAGAGAAGGAAGTCGCGCAAGCAGGAATGGTTCCTCACAGCTGAATTCATTTGGCGCTGGCATACTATTTGGTAAGAGGATAGATATTCAATGAGTGCCTGACTATTCTGATCAAAATACTGCTCTTGCGGGATTTTGCGGGAATGAACAGTGACATTGTCGTCAATAGAGGTGCTTCGTCGCGTCGGTTTGTCATATGTTTGAGAGAAAGGATACAAAGAGAAGCGCACAACGGACAATGGCAGCTATCAATAGTGTGCAGATTCCAATTATCCGATCGGATTGGATATCACAGCGAACGACGACACACGTCATACGAAATGTAAAGAATAATACAGGGCCCTCAGGAACCAACGCACGCGCGTCCCCCCTTTGAAATCGAACATCGGGGGCATGATTTCGTTGGTTTTTTTCAAATACARTAATTTTTTTTCTCCCTTTACTACGGATATCATAACAAGTGATCGCGCGACGTTAATTTAACGTTCCCATTGTTAAGCTAGTGATGCGATCACTAAATTAGTGATGCCATCATTAGCTAGGTAGGCGTACGTAGGAAATGTACTAGCCCCGCAACTTGTCACGCTGGCAGGCCAACAGCTGTTCATCTTGCTTGAGATTGGTCTTTTGGATGGATCCTAGTACAAAGCTGTGTAGAAAATCATGTAGAAAATCGTGGATCAAGGTACTTGCCTTGAGATTTTGGTCAAAATAGAAGGGTTTTGATTGCAGGTACAAAATTGTACCGAGGCCCACTGTCGTGACCTTTACCTGCCTCCAGCGTGCTGATTCCAGTGAACTAAACTGTTCTTTTCATTCTATCGAAAAACTCCCGGTTCAAGCAACCGACCATGGGAATCGGTCGATTTTGGACACTTTCACTCACTCTTTCTTACTGTACTTGGTATCAATCGATAGCTCTCTTCGATTGTCGATTGAACAAGCCTTGAACCATAGAAAAGGACCCAGYAGAAGGCCTTATTTAGTTTGATTAGTGTTGCTTCTTTTTTTACGGCAGCTTGCTTCTTTTTCGACCGACGTCGGCAGTATGAGCAGGAARGATCCAGGAGATAGGATGAATACACAGGAGAGAGACGCCAGCGATGGTCTCCTACAGCTCAGGGATCTGGCGGAGGACCCTCCAAGAAGGGATGAGCTGTTGGATTCTTCAGATGATGATTCAGAGGGTAGTAAAGAGGTCGCGTTTCCTATTCAACAAGCTGCTGGTCCTCGTCCAACTCCAGGCAGGCTACCATCCACTGTACACCATCCCGAGTACAAGAAAGCCTATGAGGTCCTTGCAAGGAAGAAGAAGTATCTCAAGCTGGATGAAAAGAAGGAGCTGCTTATGCAAATCAAGGGGATCAAATCCACTCGTCTCAATACTGTCTTTCCAGGGACAAAGGCTATCCCCTTGAGGGAAGAACTAACTGCTTTAATYGATGAAMTGAAGATGACAGGGCTCATCAAATCACGCATTACAAGGAACTGGAAGCTACACTATGTGTCAGGGAAGCTGGCATCCATCCATGCTGCCATGGAGATGAGGAAGGATATCTTGAAAGAGGGAGGAGGATCAGCAGCAGCAACAACAAGGACCTTGAGGGGGAGTACTCAAACCGCTGAGCAAACGCTCGATGCATTTCAGTCAGTGGCGAAAGCAATAAAGAAGGCAATGAAGAAGAAGGAGAAGGATGACAAGACAGCTGTCAGCAAGGGGAGTAGGAAGGGGTACATCGATTGGCAGACCAATGGTCAGAAGATCMAAGACAGGATCAAGTTTGATATCGCRAAGCTTGATCCTTTGCCTTGTCCAGTATGCAACAACATATCTACTATGGATACTGACAAGCTGGAGGATGTAACGGCTGTGAACGCGGCTCGACACAAGGAGTGGCTTGCAGCAAAGAAGGAATATGATAGGGGAAGGACCAACATAAACCCCAGGCATGGCCAGGATGTTGACGTGTGGAGTGCTTGCTATTGCTGCAAGTTCACTTGCAACTTGGATCCCAATGGAGGGAACTGTCCTGAGTGCAGCAAGCCTGATGCTGACCACTTGGAATGGGACCCGCRGACAGGATTGCCACTTGCTTGCCACTGTCCTTYGTGCAACAGTGGATGCAAGGTTCGTTTTGCTTCAACCAAGAGGAGCAAGATCAAGACTGATATCCTGAGGGGCGTTCTTCTTGATCCAAATAAAAGATCTTCAACAAGCTGGGWGAAGGATCCAATAGGAGCTATCAATGATATCACTACTCACCACGTGTTGGAGGGGACGTTTCAAGCAGCAATGGAGGGATGCCAGTCCCTTGGTGAGGCCAGGCAGAATGCTGGAGCCTATRCAGCCAACAGCTTTGCCCATGATATTCATCTTCAATCTAACRTGGCCTTTAGGAATGCAGTTCAAAAAGCGTTTGGAAACAAGACTGATAGGACAAAGCATGGGCTGAKTATCGATCAGGTTAGGAATGGTGTTTGTCCTCCTAGGCTCGCAGCTCAGCTGAAGGCCCAGCAGAGGAAGGCTTTGCCACGACAGCAGCCGCGGCAGTATGAGCCTCRAATGAGCAGTGCTGCTGATAGGAGCCATCGCCAGTATAGGAATAACCTCCATGGAGCCAAGTCTTCCTCTAGATTGCCAGGGAARCATGGTTCTAGTCTTGCTCGGAGGCTTGCTGCATACAGGAAGGGACCAGCTGAGGAGGGCTCGAGCRCTTGTCCTATTGACCTTGGTGATTTGAGTAGTGTGGATGAGGAAGAGCAGTATTTTGCGCCTGAGGCTGCTCAAAGCGCTACTGGTATCCCCCACTGCACACCTTTCAGTGATCTCAAGCCCCCTGCTCGTCCTTCAGCTGCTGCTGGTTCCTCTTCCTTTGTTAC